CTTCTGTCTGGATGCAAAGTGCTGACCCCGCCGGGCAGGCGGAGAGGATCAGGCGCTCCCCGGGGACCCCTGCGCTCGGCGGGGGGCAGGGCTGGGCGTGGGGGCGGACAGGGATCGCGGCAGGCGCTTGGGGGGCTTTGGGGTGGCTGGAGCTGGAGCCCGGCGGGAGAGAAGAGGGGTGTCTCCGGGACGAGGCCAGGCCAGAGGTCCGCTCGGAGTGGAGTGTGCGCGCCGCGAAGCTGGGGGCGGTGAGAGCCCGCTGGCCTTGGGAGAGTGCTCGGATTCTGACCGCCCGCAAACTTAGGGACTAGGTCAGCCCCGAAGCAGTGCAAACCCCAGGCTCCGGAAGGCACCTTTCTTTCGCGAAAAAGTTATCCTGGGGCTAAATGTGCCTCTCAAGTCTTGTTTACCTTCTCATCGCAACACAGAAAAAGAAACTTTTTGTTTCCCTTCCGGGAATTCCTCTCCTTAAGCCCGTGCGTCACTGCAGCTTGGACTCCCACGGTAGTTTCTGCCCGGCCTCCCTGCTCCAGATGGGGGGGCGGGGGGGGTGTGGTGCCCGTCCCCACCGCCCAGGAAAAGGGCGCCTGTGCTTGGCCTAGACACGCAGCAGACTCTGGAGGAAGAGTCCCTCGCTCGGAAGTGTCAGCTCGTTGGTGGCTCCTCCAAGGGACTTGAGTCCAGGAGGTTCATACTTCACTGGGCCCCAACAAAGTGCCAGTCATAGTGATAGAAGTGTTTACAGATGTGGTCTTAGTCCATTCTCACAGTAGCCGGGAAGTGAGGAAGATGTCCTCGTCTCCATTTTACAGAAATGGAGGCTCAGAGAGCTTCGGAAATCAACCGAGTTCACACAGCTCGAAGTGGCGGAGCTGGAATTGAACTCAGATCTCATTCCAAAGCCCAAGGCTGTTTGCTGATTGCATGTGGTTTCCAGATGACTCCAAGAGTGGGAAGGAAAAGACTGTGATGTCTGAATCCACTTATGATTAGAAAAAAAAACTCCCCCTGTGTCTTTCAGGAAAAAATGTGCGATATCTGTGCTCCTTTAGAAACTTTTTTAAAGAAAAATTTAAGATTCAAAAATGGAAAAACCATTTATACAACCTCAAGATGCACTGTTCTCTCTCTTATTATAACCACGGCACTGTTGCAGCTTTGGTTGCTTTCAAAATCTCTCTTAGTTCTTGGACAACAGTATTAGCAAAGTGTAACAAAATTATCAAAGCATGGAGACGTGCTGGTTTAACTTTTGTACAATAGCATCTTTACCCGAGGCTGAATGTTGAGAGCACCAAGAAAACTTTGCTTGTCTGAAGGAATGCACACACACAAATATATGGACACATATGCTCATTTTTATATGTACTTATTTATATATGTATTATAATTTAGAAACATATACACGTATTTACATTTGCCTATAATATAAATTAATATAATTTATTATATTTATATATATGTGGCCTAGGAAATTAAGATTTATTAAATACAATTTATAAATGCAGCTGAGTAAAAATTTAAAAATCAAACATAACCCTATCAACCTATATCATCAATGCTTACATTTTCCAGCATATCTTCATTTTTCACGCTCTGAATGGACTTTTAAATGTAGTTACACAGAACCTGGCTTTGCACCCACGAATTGTCTCTACTCTAAAAGAAGTTTCCACTGCTGTGTCACCTCTGTGTCTCCAGAAAATGCTGGCTTTTATGCCTTCACACTTAGTGCTTCCTTGGTGTCAGCAGTAGATAAAATAAGAGGCCAAGTGCTAACTACAGAGAAGCAAATTGGTTTACTTCTCTCCGTGGGTTGGACGTGGATGGGTGAGGAGCTTTTTTCCTGTGTTTCCTCTCTCTTTCTCGGGTCCTCTGTCTTTGATGCCTACTTTCGTCAGCAAATATCCCCATGCTTAACCCCTTTGCTTCTCTTTCCTTCTCCCTGCCCTCATGGTGTTAGTTTTCTCGCCCCTGTTTCTGAGTGTTTTTTCTATGGCACTTGAAATAAATAAATTTGAAGTCCCTAAACACTCACACATTTCTAAAAGAGACAGAAAAAGAGTCAAACTTACTTTACAAATTTGTTTGAGAAAACGCTGTGGGCACTTGTTTGGTTTAATAGTGCATGATTGCCGGGCTCAGTGGCTCAGCCTGTAATCCAGCGCCTTTGGGAGGCTGAGGTGAGTGGATTACCTGAGCCCGCGAGTTCGAGACCCGCCTGGGCAGCGAGACCTCATCTTTACAATAAATCAAAAAATCAGCCGGGCGTGGTAGCGCATGCCTGTAATTCCGGCTACTCGGAAGGCTGAGGCGGAAGGATCGCAGGAACCCAGCAGGCGAGGCTGCGGTGGCCGGAAGCAGCCACTGCACTCCAGTCTGGGCGACAGAGTGAGACTCCAACTCAAAAAAAAAAAAAAAAATAGTGCATGATTCTTATAGTATCATATCCTTTTGTCTGTACTATCTAGTATATCGGCCAAGCAGCCAGTTTCTTCTCCTTGACATTTCTTAGAACAGTTTTCTTAAGGTTATGGTCAAAGGAAAGGAGAGAGCATTTGGGAAATACCCAGTGTATCTACAAGTAACCACACAGAATACTTTTAGGGGGAAATAAAGAATAACTGCCTAATTTGTACTTGAATTATTTTTTAAACCCACCCAAGAAGCATGAAATGGATTATTTTTGTTTTAAATGGGCTATACTAATATCACAAAGGACTTGATAAGTCTTATGAATAAAATTATGAAATGTGAATTAAAACAATAACAACCAGGATGGAAAAATGCAAGTGTATAAATGACAACAAGACTAGGAAACCAAAATTAAACTGATATGGGGGACCATCAGGACCCCCATTATCAGCTGCAGTTAGACAAATGAAAAGTCATCTGATGATCACGCCTGAAATGCAGTCATCACCCTTAGCAGCAAATCAGAGTTTAATTTGGAAAAAGAAATTTTATTTCTGCACTTAGTTGGAGGAGGAGGAGGAAGATGAAACAATTAGAGGCAAAGAAGTACTGGAATTTAGATGTTGTCTCTGAGTAAGCCCTCAGGGACAATGGATGAGTGATTTACTTATAAATAATCTAGGCAAGTGTCAGGATCTTGAAAGAATTTCTCTGAAGGCTACTAGAGTGCTCAAGGGAAGCCACATCACTATAGTTCAACTGCCAGTTGGAGAAAATAACTGTTTTCTAAGAGGTGGTCTGAAACCTACAAAAGGAAATTCCCCCCTTAAAAACCCCCTAGCAAGGTAAGTGATTTGGGTGAATTATCTTGAGTCGCAAAAGTCCCTTAATAAGCACATGTTTTGTAGTAGATACTAAAGACTACTTACTTATGATGAAGAATAATAAAATAATATCACTTAAAGCTTGAAACTGCTAAAAGGCAACTTGAAACCAAATTTAGGACAGTGATTCCATCTTTTCTTTTTTAAATGGTTAAATATAGAAGAATTGACCTATGATGTGAAACAAAAAGCAAATACCTAAAAACAAAGTCCACTCATTATTTCACCACCCCCCCCAACACAGGCAATTTTGTTTTACTTATTTTGGGGAAAAAAACTAATGAAATCTTCACTTCTTTCATGTAGAAAAATTGATTATATTTTCATTTCAGGCTTTCAATAATGTAGTAGTACAAAATGGCATCATTATCCTTATCCTTACAGCTTCCCAGCCTTGTCTACACATGTACATAATTGCACATACACGTCAAGTTGATTATTGTAAGACTGGTAATGTTGCCTTCCCAGGAAGGAAATGAGTGAGTTCTCCCCTTTGGTCACAACTGCTTTCTTGATTAAAAAGGAACTGTTGTGCCACCCAGTCACTCCATCTGTGAACACTTAGAAATGGCAGTCACAGTTCTGCTAAGTGGAGATGATAGTAAATTTTGCATAAGATTATGCCTTTGGAGCAAGGCCAGCCTTACAAATTAGCAAATCTGATGACAAATTCAATCGGCAAGTGTACTCAGCCCAACAAGGTGAGCAAAGTTATTGTAGGTGGTGTTAAGCTGTAGACCAGGATAAACCTACAAAATTAAAATAAATCTATCATTGTGATTAATATTCAGGGCCCACTTATAAATGAGAACATGCAATATTCAATTGTTTCTGTGATAGCACATTGAGTACAATGGTCTCCAACTCCATCCAATTTGCCACAAAGTCTGTGATTTTGTTCTTCTTTATGGTTATGCAATACTCCGTCATGTGGGATCAGCAGTCACTGCTGGGGAAGGGAGCAAGAGAGAAGAAGCATGTAACAACACAAAGAATATCTGGTCCTATACTGGGGGAGTAAAGGTCAGTTAGAGACCCAAACTTAACCTGCATGCAGCCTGCTTGTGTAGTTAATCCTTACTTCTAACCCACGTCTCTGTAATAAAATAAAAGTAAATTTTAAAAAGAATCAATCTGTTGCTAAATTTATTAATGACAGGCTGGCCTTCAGTCAAGCTGTGTAGCATTACTCAGCTTTCTCAGAGACAGCATCTAAATTCCAGTTCCTCTTTGCCTCTAATTTTTTAATCTCACCCCCCTCCAGGTCTAAACTCCGTGCACCTCTGTATTCTGTGAGATTATAAAAATGTAAGATGTGAGGAACGACAGATACTTTGAATCTTTGAGGGCAGAGATCTAAAAGAGAGAGACCAAGAGAGAGAATGAACTCAGAGTACACGGGTTAACGCTCTCGTTCTTTGCTGAAAATTTAGCTTTGACTTTTAGCCATCCTCGCAGAAAGATCATTGGTCCTAATGCTCAT